AATTCCGAGATTTTCTTAACCAAATGTGCTCAGTTTAGAGACGAAGAACAGTTCATCGATGTTCGTTTAAAAGTGGGCGAAGACATCTTTCCAGCTCATCGTATTGTGCTGGCTGCGAATAGCGACTATTTCTACGCCATGTTTACGGATGGAATGAAGGAGTCCAACCATGAAATGATAGAGCTGAAAGATAAAAGCATTTCACCAGACTTTTTGAAGATTATAATGGACTGCATCTACAGTGGGGATTTTCAAGTCAACAAAGATAACGTGTTTGAAGTTCTTGCAGCAGCAGATCATCTCCAAGTGACGACTGTTGTTCAACAGTGTTGCGATTTCTTGCTGACCGAGTTTGTTAAGCTTCACTTTGATTTTGAAACTTACTCTCGTATCTGAGAAATTGCTCACAGCCATGCCCTTAAAGATCTACAAGAGGCTACTGAGATTGAAATGGCTAAGAAGTATAAAGATGTCTGCGAAAGCAAAGAATTTTTGGCTCATATCGACGGAGATCAGTTGCTCAGCCTTCTCAGCCGAGATGACCTCAGTTCACCGTCCGAGACGTTCATCTTTAAATCAGTGATGCAGTGGATTAAACATAGCAAGGAAGAGAGGATGGCAGTTGCAGCAAAAGTTATTGGAGCTGTTCGTCTGGGACTCGTGAATATCAGAGAGGTAGTAGCCGAGCTCAACACGCAAGATATGCGAATGATTCCAGAGATAAATACGCTTTTGCTTGAGTCACTCCTGTACAGCGTCGAGCCTTCGAGCAGCTCCGAGTTTGGTACAAACAAAACAAGATCGAGGTCCATGAAATCGGTAAGGCAAACATTATTGATCATTCTAGATCCCAGGAAAGTTCCCATGCCAGGCAGGACTAACCTGAGCCTCTTCGCGGCTGGCCGCACCTAGCCGTCCCATATTTCAATTGCATTATTACAGTTCAGAAAGGAAGCTGAAACACGAAACCCAACCTCTTTACAAGGGCACGAGCTATTTTTAAAGTCAGCATACTCCAAAATTAAGGAAGAAGTCTTTGATTTATAGATGTTATAGATTTATAGATGTTTTCAGGCTTACCAATAGTCTGGAAAAATCCCGATTCAGTTTTAAACTGTTGCGAGCTACAAAATGAGATGACATATAATGTCTTAGACGGTGTAGAAAACGATTTGTGAGAGAAATGACTCGAAGTAACAAGATCACAATTTGACGCCGTTTGGTGATAAAGGTACGGAGTTTTATTTCAGCTAGGACCGCGAAGAAGCAAATTAATCGCGTATCGCAAAAAACATTCTCGAGTTGACCTTAACTTGTCCTTAGTCATGCGTCTGCTTCATGTTACATTATCTTCGTGTCCAATTAGGATCAGTTGGGTCAGTATTATTATTTCCTATTAGTAAAAAACCGCTTTACATTTATTTGATTACTAAACTATTTTTAACTGACATATGTTAAAAAAATCAGGGTGTCTCTCTAGTCGATTTCGCGTGCCCATTGAAGTCAAAAGAGAACTTCAATTGCTGGCCGCTTGATGAGAACAATAAGGCAAATTATTACACGACTCGTGCAGTCAGAGGGCCAATAACTAAAATCAACCAATCAAAATGCTCTATTGCCGGTCAATATTCCCTCAGTATTGAACCGGGAACTGTCTCGAATGGTTCCGAATGGTACCGCACTTGTGTCCCTTTGAACTTCAGTCGTGTAATAAATCTCTTATTAACCAAGCTTGCTGGGGACCGTACTGGAAGAATATCGGCCCTAGGTCTTTTTTGTACGGACGTCGCTGCGCTCGGTCCATACTGTCAAGACCTCGGGCCGATATTCTCCCAGTACGGCCCTCGCGCTTGGTTAATAAGATATATCTCTAGTCATTCTAGACGCTGGACATAAAAGAAGAACAAGAATCTATAACTGAGAATATCGCCGAAAAAGGAGTAAGCATCACACTGAGATATGGAAAGTTGGTCACATTGTTGTCTCTCCTCAACTTTTGAAAGCGGAGAAGTCTGGAAGTTGGTGCGTTTCAGCCGAAAAAGTTTGATAGCTTGTTCTAATGAGAGACTTCAACTGATATCTTTATGACAGAAAATGCGCAGTTTTGAAAAAAAAAAGAAAAAGAAAAAAGGATTTACTCACGGTTTACTGATCCAATTAAAAAAAATGTTACATATTTTCAAAGGTAAGGGACGTCAGTTTGCTCAAATCACGATGAGCACCGACTCTGGGTAAGGTGTTCAGAAAACTTTACGTTTACATCACCCCTAATCTTGTTTAGTACTCTTTGTGTTTTGAAGACTTGACTTAGCCCTGGATGATCACCATAGAAATAATTTTGAAAAAAACTATCGAATGCGATAGTTTTTTTGTTTTCATTATCATTTGGTGATCTTTTTGCCTGTGGCAAAAGATCACCAAAGGATATGGAACAGGAGTGACCCACTAAAACATTGAAGGTTGAGTGTGAATATAACGTATTTCTAACAGTGTCCGTCTATTTGTTGGGATCGATGTAAGTGTCTGAGGAACTGCGCATCTACCTCTCCCCTAAACCTGCATTAACCCTAACTTGTTATCAGTTGACTGTTGTTTTGTTAGGGAAGGAGTACGTGCGCATTTGTTCAATTACTGACTATAATTCATTTTTTCATAGCCAAACGATGCAACATTTCCATACCTCTGGGAATGGAGAACGGTCACATAAGCAACCAGTCCATCACAGCCAGTTCACATTACCATAGATATCCACCTTGGCACGCCCGACTCAATAGTGGAACCGCGGTAAGCTGGTACGCACTCCCCAGTGACCCAAATCCATGGATTCAGGTGGATCTCGACATGCCTACTTGGTTGAAAGGAGTGGCGACTCAGGGCAAAAGGTTCTCCTTGTTTGTCAAAACATATAAGTTGGCATATTCCTCGGACGGGATTCATTGGAGTACTTATAAGGATGCGATCGAAGAAAGGGAAATGGTGAGCACTTTGTATTCAATTGTTAATTGCACATCTTCATTCATTTCGATTGTTTAATATTTTTTCCCCTCATCCCACATTTGTTCTTCGCATATTTTACCCTGTCTTCGGAAGAGGTCACGATTTCATTCTATCTTATTGCACTATATTCCTTTGTTTATTTCTAGGACGTTTTCCCTTTCCGTAAATCGATTTACACTTTTCGGCTTTCCCTGTGTTGGTAAACTATTTGATATCTCTAATCACATCCTCAAAGGAAGAGGAAAACCGTTTCCTCCAAAAGAGCGCAAAGGAGGTACTTTAGCCAGAGAAATTAAGTTGGCAGTGCGCCATTCAAATCTTGCGGCTTTTGGTGAAAATACAGAACTTTTCATAATCTACCTAGAAAGAAGCTTGAAATGACAGCCGAAGTCGTATTATTATGCAGTAGATTTAGTATGGAAACGCTGATTGGTCGAGAGCATTTAGTCAATATACAATAGCGTGTGGAGTTGATACGATAACCCAATACCTGCAATCGATATTGGGTTTTCTTGTCGAGTCTGAAGTGTGCCTAGTTTCCAAGCCCCTCTACCGTGTAATATTCTCAAACTTTTGCAAACTCAGAGATTGTTCAAAAGATGTATGATAAAATCATTTTTGAAATCAGTTTTTGCATTATATTATGAATTGTCAAACCTCGTATCTGTGTTATCAGCCTCAGCCTTTGGCTTCGGTTGATAACTTAGACCTCGGCATTGATAGTCATGATATCATCCTCAGCCTCATCCAGTAATTGTTCAAGAAGAGGGTGTTGTTAGATTGCTGATGCAATGTCGTTATACGAGTATATCACATTAGTTTAAGGACTATCAGTGCCGTTGTATCTATTCATCTATAATTTTTTCAAAATCAATAATCAATTGTCTTCATCGGACAGATATTTAAAGGAAACACAGACCCTTACAAAGTGGTAAAGGTTGAGCTTGATAACCCCGTTTATACCCGTTATGTCCGCTTGTATCCGAAGACATGGAGGCATGGAATAGCTGTAAAGATGGAGCTGTATGGTTGCCGGCCAGAATAAGCTACGTGTTTCGTTGGAAACGACATTCAGTAGATGTGCTAACGGATGTTTAAATATTATTGATCGTAGCGGTATTTCAATAAATGACAATATAGATAAAAGCACCACCGACTGTGTCTTGAATCCTCTTTTGTAGATAACCATCTCTAATGGTCAGTTTAGCCCTTTATAATGCTTTGTGTTTGTATGATTTTTTTACGAAGGGCACTTTCCCTTCTAATAATCAAAGTGGCTGTGAGCCACTCAACCCAGAAAGTGTATTACGAATCGAAAGAGTGTTGATGTTGGCAACTGAACCGAATTCGTTTGAATTAATTGGTCAATGGGTTCAGTCCTGGGAAAATTTTTTTTCTGTTTGAGTAATATGAAGAGCGTTTTGAGTTTTCGTTAGGGAAAAATGGGAAGTTTGGTCTTGTGCGCTGTTGTACTCTTT